CTGCCCATAGTTCAAACGCATTGCGTAAAGCAACCTCCCAATCTAGGCGTAGAATAGAGATTTTGATAAAGCACTGTCTCTCGAGGTATGCTGCTAATTCTGTCATAGCTTGTAGTCCCTCCTTTCGAGTACGAAGAGTTCTTATCCAGAAGAACCCTGACCAGCCATCGCTGACCAGCAGGATTACCTTCTCCCCATTGTATGCTTTGCTAAGTGTAAAGAAGTCGAGAGATAGATAATCTCCTACAGCAGTTGGCCAATGGTCTGGGTTTCTGCGGGAAATTTGGCGAGTTGCCTTCCCAACAGCACAGGCATCACATTCCACTTTTGTGATTCCTTTTATCTGTATCCCAAGAGCTGTTTTAAGTAGCTGTTCCAGTCCCTCAGCGCCTGGATGACCAAGTCTCTCATGCCACAACTTGGCTTCTGCTGATGATGTTGGGAGTGGTTGTCTTGTTGACTGAAAACCTTTGGTTGGTTTCCTTTCTACGGTTGGGCTGAATCTCACAGTCTTCTCGGTATTGCTGAACGAGGTATTGTTCAGCAGAGCTGGGCCAGCTTCAATAATGTATTGACCATATCGGTTTGGTGTTTTGAATAGAAGTCTGCCTTTTGAGTCGATAAGACCCGGTATTCCTGTTGTAAAGATGATCCCTTTTTGCTTCAGCGGTTCTGTCCCAAGGAGCGATGTTGGGTATCCAGGCACAAGCCATACATTTCTGACTTTGATCTCCTTGTTGTTGGATTTGCCGCCTTGGTTTGGTTTGATGATCATTGTGCCTTTCGCAATTGCATGTACATCTCCTCCTCCAGTGGTGAAGTCTTTTGTGACTGTGTAGTCGAGATCATGAAGTCTTGAGGAGTCGTTGCAGATGTGGAATCCTGTTCCTGAGTCTACTATCACACTGTCTGACAGTGGGAATCCTGAATAGAGACTTGCTTCTCCTTGATTGACGATAGTGACGAAAGATGAGAGTGATCCTTCTCCATCAGACACTTCTTGAGTATAGTGGGATGATGATTGTGTAGTGTTTCTCCAGTTTGAGGAAGATGTTGCTCGATCTGGGGACTTTTGAGACTGCTGATCGCTTGCCCCTTTTCGTAGTTTTTCAACTATTCTCTTTAAGTGTGGTTTCTTCTGGAGATACTCATTCAATCTTTCCAGTGCTTTCTTATTTTCTGGATTATCTTCATGATAGTTTGGGCCTCGCTTCTTAGGGTTGGCATGTTTGCAATCAACAAATCGGTGACTTTCGTTTGGGCAAGCTGCACACTTTTGCTCTCGTTTTGCCCCCTGTTTTATTCCTTGTTCGTTTTCTCCTTGCCAAGTAGCGAAACTCGTGTCTTTTAATGGAGCAGCATTCAACCAGTCTGGGTGGAAAGTTCTCACCCAACTGCGGAAATCGTTAGCTTGCTCAATTCCAGCAGTCTTGCTGATCGAACTGTAGGTTGGGTCATCCTTGTATCGCTTTGTGAAGTCGTAAGAGGCAGATGTGTAGTAATCTGGTGCAATTTGCTTGACTGCTTTCAAGAACTCAGAGACTTGAGTAACTGGATCGCTGAGAGCAGGGATTCCGATTGTTTGGGCTTCATCCATGATTTCTCGATAGATTATGAGCCATCCTCCAAGTTTTGCTCTTTTGATTGATAGCATATGCTTGTTATATCTTTCCAATACCATTTGTTGTCTCCCAAAGTTGTCTGGCGCTAGCTGTTTTTCAAGAGCTTTTATGATATCCCTGACTGTTTGCTCCTTGCTGACTTGGCTGATATAAGTGGCTGCTACAGTGTTCATGATCCAACTGTGAATTTCTAGAAGACTTCGCCGAACCTGGTTGTATTGGTCTTTTTCTTCTTGATAGATAGCTTTTCCATAGCTGATAACGTTGCTATAGTTTGCTCGTTCTTCTTGTCTGAGGTCTTTTGGGTCTGGGAATTCCAATCTTGGCTTAGTATTAATCTTGGTTCCTTTTGGATTCACATAGTCCCAGACTTCATGAACGTTTGCCAGCATCTGTAAGTTGTTGAACCAGTGGTTCCAGTCGCTGTCAGTCTGTAGCCGCTGTGTGTATTTTGCAGTTTCCGTAGTTGAATTCATGATCTCTCTTGAAAAGAGAACTGGTCTCTCTCTTCTGATCGTTGTGCAGTTGATTTTTCGCCGTGGCCAAGATTGAGTTCGTGACTAGACACTTCTTGTTTCAAGTTGGTGATTTTGTCGATTGTTGCCTAGAGGTTTGAGGGTATATAGCCAATCTCAACGCCTCAATTCTCAACAAAACGCAAGACGCCCCCCCTGTCTAATGAACCTGCCGTTTAGTGTAGTTGGTCTAGCCACCCAACTTGTAGCTATTCGCAAGGACCGTAAGACTGGCAAGCTCCCCTTCGTGGGTTCAATTCAGGGTTGTGGAGTTTTCGCAATTTGTAAAAAGTCTTATCGGTTCCGTTACACGAAGACTATAAAGTGAACCACCTGTTCGTCTTATCTGCCCGAAGCTTTCAGAGGCATAAAATGAGCAACTAGGTGTCTCTTCCGTTTCGTAATTCCAACCCTCCTGGCTGCGTATCAGTGGTATGGTCGAGCATGAACTTATATAAGGTTCAAGTTAAGAGTCCTGGGTTCAACTCCTCAGATGTGGTAAGTCCCCCTGAGTTGAGATGAACTTTTTGTGATTTTTTGATAAGTGTTGATGATATGAATTGATGACCAGAAGTTCTTTTGTGATTGAATGTTTCAACACTTCAACGTTCAGCCTTGTGTGATTGGAATTGATGTTTTGTTTGGTGGACTTGACTGCCAAAGTCTCATGGGTCGGTAACTTCGTCAATTGAGTGCCCTTGTCTATGGCATAAGTCTGAACTGCTCCCTTCTGGAAGTCGGTTTTTCAATTGGTAATTGTCACCATGAGGTACTGGGCTCATAACTGTCACGCAGTCAATTTGCCCACCACTTATGGGGTAAAAAAAGATGCTTCCATTCCTTAGAGACTGTCTAGGGGTTATTGGGTTGATTATATAACCGTCTATTCGGTAATTACCGATTTGAAGGTTTTCATGCACAAAATGACATCCCCGTTAGTTTTATATGGGAAACAATAGCCGGGTGCATGGGTTGAATGCATGCCCCGATATATGCAGTGGTCCGTGTGACATATCCCTTGCCTTGCACCATTTCTGATCCTAGGAGTCCCTTCTAGATGTATCTGTGTACTGAGGCTTGGCTACTCCCTTCTGAAGTATGGAATGCGATCGTTGCATGGGTTGAGGTTTCTTATCCCTAAGGTAAGGATGATCTATGCTATGAGGAATAAGGTTATAAATGGCTGTTATCTTAGACTAATTCTTTGGCTATATTTTACTGTTTTTGATAGCTATTTCGATGCAGAATATAAGCCTCTATATAAAATTTAATTGTTCATTATGTATTACGTATGTTGTGAATGCTTTCTAAACTGTGTGTGCTAAAATATAGATCTGTTATGCCTTCCGTTAGGAAGGTTAACTTCTCCATCCGCGAAGGCGTAAAAAACTATCCTGTGCCTTCCGTTAGGAAGGTTAACTTCTCCATCCGCGAAGGCGTAAAAAACTATCCTGTGCCTTGATCCCCCCTGGTCTCCTGTTCTGTGATTGGCTAGAGCAAAAATCGATGCTGATTGGTCGTAGCGACCCTGCCACCAATCAGCGCTCGTTATTCTTCGTTCGACCAATCAGCTTCGTTTAACCCCTGTTCCGGCCAATCACCTCTCATGTTCGCCGTCCTCGGGTCTTCCCGTCGTTTACCCAATGTCTTGCCGGTCTTCTTCCATTTATTTCCCGCCAACCACTCTTATTTTCCCGTCTTTTCAACCCCTGGCCTAGCCCGGCCCAACCTCGCCCATCGAACTTTCCATCCTAATACCACCCTATCGTTACCTTCCGTGATTTCCTATCTATCTGATTAATATCTATTGCTTGTCCTTCCTATTGCTGGTTTCATAATATCGTATTTCTCCTCTATGTCTATGCCCCATAACCCCCCTGTGCTTTGTGATAGCAAGTCCCCTCTGGTTGTTCATCTTCATATCTACGTCACTAATGCTTTCTCTAGCTGGCGGTGACCTGCTGGATCGACTTGGTGTGAGCACCTCTATGCGCACCAGCCGAACAATAGAAGTTTTATCTTGCTCTCCAATAGCCCGGGAGCTTGCTCCCCGGAAACAGGGCAAGACGCTGTCGTTCGATCATGGTTATCGCATCATTGCTGCCCTGGTTCAGGCTACCGGCGTTGAGCGCCGACCTCCATGCGACCGATGTGCCCGTTCAAATGGTCCGTGGAAGCAATGTATTGTAATGCAGTCCGCTGAGGGCTTACGGGCTACGAATGGTGGGTGTGCTAACTGTTGGTGGAATAATACTGGTTCCCGTTGTAGTCACCGTATGTAAGGTTTTTTGTCCTCTTTCGTCCTGCTCTTTTATTAACTATTTTAGATGCTTCTTTCGCTAGACGTTCGGGTGTATCCTTGGGCTTGATCGGACAGCCACCAGGTACTCTCTCTGACTCTTTCTCTGCCTTGGATCGATGGGAGATAGAACTGGAGACTCTCGGTAACCCTGGTATTACCTCGCGTGCATCCACACTGGCCAGAATGGATGCTTCTGAGCTGGTTACTCATTACAAAGACGTTACATCCCGGTTAGAAGCAATCCACGCCTCGATAGCTCACTTGACGAACGAGTGCCAGCTATTAGGCCAGCAGGTTTCGGAGGTTTCCTTGGTCTTGTCTTTCCAGCGGACATTCGAGGTACGGAGGATTCCTCCGGGTCTAGCACATATTAACTTTACGCCTATTGTATGCCCTCCTTCTGGTCATAGCAATGAGTCCAACAGCACTACACAAGACAGCAATACGCGATAATAACCCAGTGTTAACCCGATTCATGACATGCCTGAACCGCCAAGGCAAGACCACTAATCTGTCCTTTCATCTTAATGGTTTTACCTCCCTATTTACTATTCCGCCCTCCTATGCTTCATCTCTCTCCCTAGCCTCGAACGCCCGGACTGTTGCTTCCGCGAGGATCCTTAGTCTTTTGGTTCCTTCGACTAGCTCCTCCGGCATGCGCGCCTCTAGGAACTGCTTTACGTTTAACGGCTGTATGAGAGCGATATCTTCAAAGCGCCGCACGCGGGATAGCTGAACATACATGCTTACTGCATCGCATCTTTCAAGCTCCCCCGTATTCTTACCCACTGTTCTCCCATAAAGCCCTAACAGTGTCTTTTCGAGTGTCCGCCCCTGTGCCTTAAAGTCGGTTAATGCGAAGCCTGGTGTGCATGGGAGCCCTGTCCGGACTAGCGCTAGTTTTACATTGGCTTTCTGCAGATCTGGCCGGAGTATTTTGATGTGCTTTTCTGGTACTCGAATATTGGCTGCTGGCAACATTACAGTATTAGGTGGCAGATGGGGGAAAGCTAACCCGTTCGTTTCTTCGGACTGGAGAATAATACCACTAGGCGGTCCGAGAAATATGGACAGCCTGTCGTTTATGATGATCTCTTCTACTCCGGGCGGATGAAGAATTCCTACGGCTGTAAACTCTGCGCCGTTGACAACCTTGAGACCCATATACTTGTTCTCGTTGATTACCACCGGCATACCCTCGACATAAGGGAACATACCAGCTGCGCTCAGCTTGCCCTCGTCGCCTAATAGCATGGCTGCTTTTCTCTCCTCTGCTGTAGGTATCCGCGATTCCCACTTGTGCTTCGAAAGATATATCGATATCTTACGACCAGTATCGACGCTATATGCTAGGGCTGCATGCAACGTCAGATCCCACCGGTGTCGGTTTAGAGGTATAACAGCTCGCCTGCCGCTGGTGAAATCGAATTTCGATTCGCTATTATATTGCGCTTCGAGCTTTTCTTCGCGGCGTCCTCTCTTGTCTGCTTGCCCTCTCGCAGGCGTTCAAGAAAACCAAGCAGGTAGGCGTCCCCTTCAGCCCGTTTTTGCTCGTCGAGTACTACAACATTAGTAAACCCCTGCCAGAGTTCTTTAGCTTTAGCCTCTTTCCAGCGTCTCTCTATAGCTTTGCTTCCCGGTCCTATATTTCCTAGCACTATACCAATTCGTTCGGTAGTACTAAGGAGGCTCTTCTGCAAAACTGGCGGGAACTGTAAGAAGTCTCCAGTGAACACGACGACAGAAATGCCACCAAAAGGCTTCTCTGGGAAGCCCCTTAACATTCTGAGCTTTTGATCGATATCATATAATGTTTGGAGTCCGAGCATGCTGGCCTCGTCGATTATCAGAGCATCCCGCCTGCGCCATCGTTCTTTGGCTTTCTCTAGATTGTTCGATAACATTGGTTCTACGGTAGCGCCATCGGCGTCCCGAAATGCCAGCCCTACAGCAGAATGAATTGTATTACCGCCGATACCTGCTGCGGCCGTTCCCGACGTTGCCGTAATAACAAGCCGGCTGGACGCCCCTTTGGCTGCGAAAACCTCTTTTACGGTATCGATAAGCCACGACTTTCCAGTGCCGCCTCCCCCGCCAACGTATTGCAGGTGTTGCCGATCAGCGCCGTTTGTTCGTTCGTCGAGCGCCTCGCAGATGAGACTAAGCGCTATTCCCTGCATGCGATTTAATGTTCTCTCCGCACCGATAATCTTCCCTGCCTGGGTGAACGTATTAGCGGCCGTAATTGCGATCCAGTTTGAAGCAGGTTTCAGTCCAACTATCGCTGGCTGGGCTGGGAAATCTATATTAGCATCGTTGTCGCCAAAGCCTGTTTCGGCACCGGTATGTAGGGGTCTTTCGGCGGATTCATCCCCTTCGATGGCTAGCATTCGCTCTTTATGGAGTCTTTCCTGCGCCGCTTTGGTGATTTTTAAATGTTGCTTTGGTAGTGTTGTTTGCATATGTGGTTGACTGTTGGTGCTTTGTATTCTGGAGTCGTCATCTATGCTAGAAAACCCGGCGTTATCCAGCGTTTGTAGCAACTCTTTTATGCCTGGAGAACCATTCGTAACTCCTGGTCCGTCCTGTAGGCTGAAGACTACATCGTGAAAGGTGTGCCGCAGGTCTATCCTATCTGGGTGCCATTCTTCTGAAAGGTCTAAGCCCTCCTCAGGCACATCAAATTCGTATCCTTCATCGCCCTCGCTCCGGCTAGCCCAAAGCTTAGCGTCTTTCTTTGCGTCTTCTGCGCTCTTGTGAAGAAGTTGGATGTTATTTACCACAGCCTTAACCCGACCTGGCATGTCGGTGTATAATCTCTCCCAGATGTCACCTGGATCGGGACTAGTGGATTGCATAAAGGTTTCCCACGGCACAAATAAGCCGAGTAACAGGACTGCTGACCTATTGTCTGTTAGCGACTGTATAGCCTGAGGTATATATATATATATACCTACCTCTTGTAATACCCTTCTTCTGTGCCTTGTACGTCATGATTTAGATGTCCGGTAACAACTGGAATTGCTTGATGTGTCCTTGGGAGCAATTCTTGTATCCACGATTCCCGGTCTGTCATTAAAGAATCGAACGGTATAAACCGTGACTGGTTTATCCTGGTCCTTCGTCCGACCCTCCGTACGCGAACCATACATAGGTATTCGTAAAAGCAAAGCTGTTCTAACAGGCGACCGCGATGCGCATATGCCTCAAGGTATGGCAAAGTCATGCCACCGGCGCCGAATCCAATCGTTTCAGGGGTTACCCGCTGCTGCACTTCCGGCCCTGCTGCTCTGCGTAGGGCCTCCCAGCGCCGGAAAATAGCCCAGTAAAGCGAACTGAGATAGACGTTAATCCAACTCGCTTCGCTGCAATAGCTATTCTTGTACCCGAGGAGATTACTACAAACCTCTACAGCCGAAAGTTCTCGACTTGTAAAGATCTGATTTGCTGTACGAGCAAGAAACTGCCGTGTCTTATTATTCCGTTGTGCTGTCTTTGCCGCGCTGTCTCCACAATTCGGTCCGTAGTCGTCTCCCTGATCAGCCATCCCATCAAATACAGCCTTGACTAGCGCTGCTCTCTTCCAAAGCGGCGTATCTAATTTTGTTGAGTAATTCGTAGCATAGTATACCATGGAGAGTCCAGCCGAGTTAGTCGGGAGGAATGTAGTATCCGTATTATGACGCATAGCTACTGCTAAACCTGGGCTGTATCTGTTGATTCTTTCGTGATCTCTTCGGATATGCAGAAGGCCATCGGTAGTAAACTCGGTTCGCTGGCGCAGTGTCCATGGTGCTTTAAACCGACAGGGATGCCGAGACCCAGCCTTCCCTTTGTCTTTGAAACTATACTTTGTACATGTCGCACCGCAGCTATGCATTTGGCACCTGTAGGCGACCCAATTCGCTTCGGCATCAAGGGCTTCATCGAGTCTGCTGATATCCTCCGTAAGATGTTTGATATTGGTAAAGACGCTTTCCCACCGGCGGTATCGTCGTGCCTTGCCTTCGTCGCAGCACTATATCATTTACTTAGCACGATAAACTTAGAAAATAGAGAAACATGCTTACCTCACTAAATACTGAATCAATATATTGGCACACTTGTACTGCGTAGTCCGCGTTATCCGGCTTGGCAAGATCATGAAAAAGATCAGGTAGCCCGAGATTGGCGTCTAACCATAAGAGCCCGTGTAAGTGAAGAGCCCCACGCTCGTTTGTCTCGACGCAGCCGAAATAGCAAGAGACTTTGCCAAACATTGATTCCTCGCTAACAGAAACACAATGTTGAAAGAAAAGCTCCAACTCTCGATGAAAAAATTTTGCTGAACTAACTGCGTCTCGGATAACATGCTGTACGCGTCCAACCTGCTTCCGGAACTTTTCCATCAGCTCCTCTGCCGCCTTGCCATGTGCTACCCGAAAGGCGGCTAGTTTCATATTTATCTCGTTTGTTAGATCGTTTGGGTTGATTGTATACCATATACACGGCATTCCATACTTGAGGCATAGTGACTTTATCTTCCTTCGAGAATAGAGACGCTCCTCATTTGACATATGCTGCCTATGTCCAAACGCGCTTAACTCCCGGATTAAGTATGCTATATTGCTGTTAGTAGTCGTCCGGGTCTCGCGGTACTCTTCTTCTGCTCTTTCAATCTCCTCGGGAGTAAGTCTTGTAACGATTTGCTCGACTTTGGCAAATGAAGACCTCTTCATTCGCAAGTAACTAATCCGTCGGTTCTCTGATCGAAGAAGCATATTGAATACTAAAAAAGGGAAGCTTGGGTGTGTAGCAAAGTAAGCACCTATTATACTATTACTTTAGTTACTTATTTCTATTTATAAAGCAGAAGTTTTACTAACCATGCCTCTGTAAGCAGAATCGTGCCCAGGTTCGAAGGTAAAATCCGTTCGGCTTATGACTGCTTTGGATGTCTGGACCTTGCGGTTCATCCTGATCATCTTCGTTTTCTTCTTCACGTAATATCCTAGGGCCGCCTCGACCCCATGGAAATAAACAAGGGAAAGCCTTAGGGAAGAAATCGGGATCGTTCGAATCAGCAAATTCCTCTCCTCTGCGACTGACTAGATAGGGTTCTGTATTCTTATATCGGAGGGTGCTGTCTCCGTTTGCGTCCTTTGGCTTTCGGCCTCTCCCACGCTGGGGCCCTCTCACTGTTGCTTCTCGAAGAATCCTGAGTCGTTCTTGTGGGCTATGCTCTCCAGATACCTCAGTAGCCATTAGTCCAGTTGAGGTTAACTCGGACAGCTCTTCATCTATCCGACGAGGGTCCATATCAAATGGGTCGCAATCACCCGCATGGATTCCCCCTAGCCTAGCGTTGCTTTCAGCTTCGAGGTGCGCAGCATTGGTTTCCCTATCTTCTAGACTTGCAATAACATCGTGAGCATTACGCAAAGGTTCATCAGGGCGACCTCGCTCGGCAGGAGGGACATAGTGTCCTGTACGGATTTCGTCTTCGGCACGCTTCTCATACGCCACCATTCTCTCCACAAGTCCCTGGGGTACCTCAGTTCCGGGAGACCATTCCCCCCAGGTCCTAAGATGATCCTCACTAATACTAATATCCCGGTATAGTGGGTTGTTCGCCCGAAGCCAAACGAGCGCACGCTTGAGCTTCTGGGGGTTCACTGATAACATAAAGCCAAGATCGGATGGTACTGGTGTCCGAGGACCTACAAAGCATACATGCAACCTGTCTCGCTCTTCCACGAGTGGATGAGGTAGAATGTTGGCTGCTACGCCTTGAACGTCGTTAGGGAACACAGTAATATGGCCTCTCTTGTGTTTTCGGTAGCGGCTACTTGTTGACTTCTCGACGTCGATAGTAAGCTTCGTAATCTAACCACAGGGGGTATAAATTCTAATAAGGCGCTCCTCAAGTGGTGAAAGATCTTTCAAAACATGAGGATACCGATGGATGCAGCCTAAAGACAGATTATTCACCTGGCAGGCGTATGGCAGTTTTTGATGCTGTAAGGAGGTCTTGCACTGGGTGCAAATAGCGAAGTTTGCCTCTGGCTCCTTAGGAAAGCATTCCATACAAAGGAAATGTTCTCTGTCTAACACAGGGATTTGGTCCTCCACCCTTAGGTATAATGGCTCAAGTTCGGCCCATGTATAATTGACTAGTGAGTTGGGAGGCTTTTGCTAGTAACATACTCTACAATATTCGATTTCGAGTGTAAAGTCATCATGCATGCTTTCGTGGAACGTCTTGGTCTTTTCCAGAATCGTTTTTCGGGAAACTGGTCGGCACCACGTGCGATCCATAGAGTCTAGCTTCTTCTGGATATAGCGGCAATCTGCTTCTTGTACTGTCTGTTCGATCTCCTTCTTCCTTGCTTGGTATGCTTCGGGTGTGTCTAGTAGCTTAATATAGCTAGCTTTTTGGCTTAGCTTGGGTAGTGATGGACGAATTGGTAAATGCCTTTGCTGGATAGGATTAGACTGGCGAATAGCAACTGACGGTATTTGAGTTCTTGGCGCTTTAGAAAGAATATGCTGGCTATCTTGAGCTCTCTTATGCTGTGATATGTCTAGGGTAGTGGGCGTGTTTAGACTTGATATAGGCTTAGGGTTCCACGGAAGTAGGGTTGGTCGATTACTTTGCTCCCAAAGGTTGCTACTAGCATGGGCTTGCCTATTTCCTCCACGGCTTTTCCTAGGCGTAAGGGAAATTTTACTAGGCGATGTATTTAACCCCTCGCTATAGGGTGTCTGTACTAACACTGATCTAGGTGATAATGGAGATTCGATTCTATTCGGGCTTCGGATATTGTCGAACGAGGATGGTGGTGTCGGCAGCAGATTTCGGTTCCGATTCGAAGGAACCTTTAATCCTTCGTCGAGGGATCTCTAGTAACTCTGTGTCAAAAGGGGCCCTGATAGTGATTTTATTGAGTTTGAAGGGACCTTACCATAATATTGACTGAAGGCGGTGGTCCCGGTGCTAGCATGCGACTGTGGTTTGAAGGAGAAGTCTGCTCTTCCCTGCCGGCTATTTGTCTCGGCCTCAATTCAGGCTGAATTGAAATAGGAGTGTCATTGAATGAGGAAACTGGTGTTGTAAGATGCGGCATGATAAAACTTAGAGTCGATTCAAGGATTTCTAAGGTCTTTGGAGATCAAAAAAGCTATTATATTCCTTTGACTATGGGAATATTAAAGCTTAGCAATAGTAATGCGTGTTCGCTCCATCCGCTGAAATCACCTTCTGCCCTAGCTGCAAATGTTATTACTGCCTCAATAAGAACATCTTTTCTCATATAGTATTAGCCCAAGGCGAGATGCAAGTAACTTCGTATTGCAAAGACGGATGTCTTGCTGCTGCATTACTATAATAAAGCTGGAATCATTCCTGTTCCATCCGAATAAGAAACAATACTTTGTGATCTACTAATAGAAGGGTAATAAGCCCCCTGTTGTTCCCACTTTGTAGAAAAAAGACGTAGTCTACGTCTTGCTAGTATAAACTAGACAACTTTAGGCGACTACGAGACCTGGTTCTCCTGTATTAATAACTTGATAAGGGAGCAAAGCTGAAAAATCTCCCTTCCGATGGATTCTTCCTCCGCCCCCTTATGTACAAGGTTTATTCCTTTATAAGAGTATAACCCGAATGTTTGGATTCGCTTTTCTCTTGCTCTTCCTTACGTCTCGAAAGCTCCTTCTACGTTTTATACTGGTTCCTTGCAGATTGTTTACTATTTCGCCTTGCCTCCTCCTGCCGCTATGGGTACTGGAAAGCCAGACTTGGCTGCCTATTGGCCGAAGCCCGAGCTGAACCTGCCTTCGCCATGGAGCCTCCCCCTCACGATGCTTGCTACAGGTA